TCCCAAATACCAATGAAACAATCAAATAAAGAATGACTTATTCCTCCATCCTCCCTCCAGCCCACACGGTGCCCACTGTGCGCCAGATAGGCCTAGGCGCTGAAATCATTCTAAGTTCTATTTGGAAAGGGAACCAGGAGGAGGATGTGACATAGAACAGCTGGAGGGATGAGGTGGCCACTCTAGATTGGTGGTCACAGAAGGCCTTTCTGAGGAAGGGACACCAATGCTGAGTGAGACTTGAATGAGAAGTGAAGCCAGCCATGTGAGGATATGGGGGACAAGTGACCGAGGAGGAGGGAACAGGCAAGAGCCCAGTGCTCAGTTAAGTAAATAAAAAAACCCAAAACAAAAAAACTAAACATAGTATATAGAGGCAAAGAAATTTCCTATCAGCAGATGAGAGCTTTGAGAAATTTCAGAAAGGCACGAAGCAGATAGACTGAACTTGTGGCATAACGGATTGACAGCAGCCTACGATTCCACTGGAGGCATCAGAGAAGAAATAGCTGAGTGTCCCCAACAGAATCCTTGGAAAACGCCAAGCTCTGAGCAGCAGGATTGGAAATGGAGGCAGGGGGTGGGCATCAGACTATGGAAGCAACTCAGGAGCATGGAATAGGCTCCACATGGCAGAAAGCATTTACTAAGTTAAGGGAGATGTTTCCCGGCCAGCTTCTCATATGGACAGTAAGGTCAGAGGATTGTGCTCCTGTCAGCAAAGCACATGCACAGAGAAAAAACATCCTGGGAACCAGGGAGACCTTAAAGACCCGCTAACTTTCTTCCCACCTCTCACTGGCTTTCGCGGCTCCAAGTGGATTCCCCTAAGGCCCAGCAGAGGAGGGAGAAGAGTAGACTTGTTGGGGAGTACCGTGGCGAGGAAACACAAAGACATCAGAAACTCCATCAGGGCTTGACCCACAGAGCAGAACACTTGGCTGCAGGGATGTCACACTAGGGAGGATGGGGGTCTACCTCCCCAAGATTCCCATTGCTGCCCGTCTCACTGGAAGAGAGGGTTTTTAATCTTTTAATCTGTTCTTGGGCCACATACCCAGGACCCAGAGGGGAACCTTGGCGATTGACCTATGCCCATCCATTCACATGTTCGGCTGCAGCCCTGCTCCTGTGTGAACTGCTCAGGGGAAAGCCTGCCAGGGCAACTCCAGGAACCAAACCAGGACTTCTTAAACTCTGGTGCGCCTCAGAATGCCTTGGGTGCTTGCTCAAGATGCAGACGCCCAGAGCCACCCCAGTATGTGCGTATTTTAAAAGAGGAGCCCAGGTGATTCCGATGCACAGCATGGCTTAGAACTGTTGGCCCACACCATCACTGAGGGCACCCTCACCAGCTACTGATGGAGTCCTAGGCCACGGCCACACATTCGACTTTTTAAATCTCCCTGAGTGTGGGGAGATTAAAAAAAAATGCCCAGTTGCCAGAAATTCTGAGTTAATTGGCCATGTGTGAGGACCAGGCATTCGTATTTTTTAGAAATTTCCATGTGGTTCTAATGTATGGCAGGATTGAAAGTTAATACCTTCATTTATAAAAATGAGCAGTCTTCCAAATAGCTGGGCATACGAAAAGAATGATCTGTTCTGAGCAGTGACCAGGGGAATGAAACAATGACCAGAAATGATGATTCTCTAATAAACAACTCTGAATAAAACTAAGTGGCAGAAATAGAGAGGAGATATGAAAATATGGAAAAAATATAAACTATGAAAAAAATCTATATCACATCTCCAGGGGGATTAAGATGATAAACACCAATAGAACAAAGCAGGCTACTAGGAAAACAACAGTCCAGGAAGTATTAAGAAGTCTTAGAAATGAAAAGCGTGATTATCAACTACCCTCCCAACACTCAGTGGGAAAAGAAAAACTCATTAAAATATAAAACCACAGAATGGACACCACTGAAAAATCAAAGCAGTGATTCTGAAGAGCAATTCAGGAAATTGCATCCTTTGAATACAGAATAAAAAGACTAAAGATGGAAATTATAACAGAGAAAATATAAGAGATGTAGCAACTCCATCCCAGAGGCCCAGAATTCTTAAAAAAGGATTTCCTGAAAAGTGAGGATAGAATGGAAAAAAAAAGCAGCAATGATTTTTTAAAAAGAGAAAAAAAATCCTGAGTGAAAGAAAGAGTTAAGTTCTTGACTTAGAACAGAAGGAACTACCTAGGGCTCATCAGAAATATTAGAAAGAAGATACATACTATATACTAGTTGTTTTTTAAATGTTCATAGAAATACAAGTTCAGAAATGTTGGTTTAAAATATATCAAGTTAACACACCTCTGGGAAGAATGGGATTTAAAGGAGGCAAAGGCAACTTCACTATTTTATATGCTTCACTCTTGTTTGTTTAAATCGATGATGTTTTTAATTAAAACATTTAAAAGTAAATACAACTAGAATAGAAACTAGGGTTTTTACAAACTTAATATAAAATTTGATTAATAAAGTAAAAGTCAGGGAAGAGAAAAAGAAGAACATAGAACGAGATTCAGAAATATATCAGGAAAAAGACAAAATATATGATTCAAGTAAATGTGACTGTTTTATATCCCAATATCCAAAGCAAAACATATTGCTAGAATCTGTCTAATAACCATGTGAAAAGATTCTCAAGTATATTAACAAAGAAACAAAAGAGTAAAACGAGAATTATTTTAACCTTTTGGACTTGCAAAGATAAAAAGATTGATGATGCTTGGGATGGTAAGAATGTGGGGATATGAGCACTTTTAGCTAAGGGAATGACAAAGATGTGTTACAGTTTTGCTCAAGAGGAATCTGGACATATGAACTAAAATTAAAATTCTATGCCTAGAAAGTTTATACTAAGGAAATAATTGAACTTGTGTAGAAAGATGTTCCTGGAATCATTGTTTATGGTGGCAAAAAAGGAGGACATAAACTAAATATTTATGATCCAGGGATTGGTAAAATAAATTTTACTTCACCTGTGCCAGGGGATACCATGTAGCTATTAAAAAGAGTAAGGTAGGCCGGGCACAGTGGCTTACGCCTGTAATCCCAGCACTTTGGGAGGTCGAGGCGGGCGGGTCACGAGGTCAGGAGATTGAGACCATCCTGGCTAACACGGTGAAACCCCATCTCTACTAAAAATACAAAAAATTAGCTGGGTGTGGTGGCGGGCACCTGTAGTCCCAGCTACTCAGCAGGCTGAGGCAGGAGAATGGCGAGAACCCGGGAGGCGGAGCTTGCAGTGAGCCCAGATTGCTCCACTGCACTCCAGTCTGGGCGACAGAGAGAGACTCTGTCTCAAAAAAAAAAAAAAAAGAGTAAGGTGGATCTATATGTGTTTACATGGAAACACTGCCACAATATATTGTTAATTTAAAAATTATTGGACTATATATATATGTGTATATATTTGGGTATATATATTGAACTCAATTATACAAAAGGATAGAATGTTATATATGCATACAAATCCAAAGTAATAGACGCTAAATCAGATGTTGCCAAACTTGCTGAGCTCATGGTACCCTTAGTGTCTCAGTAAGTTTTTCACAGAGCCCCTGGGCCAAAAGAAATACTTAACAGTGTCATTTATTATGGCTAGGACCAATTAACTTAATATGTATTTGTATCCTAACACTTAGTAGCTGTTTGAAAGATACATAAATTGAAAATTTTTTTTTCATTCTTAAATAACTACAATATGCACCTATTGGACACTACACATTTTCTTACATTTTGAAATTAGATTGAACCTTACCATCCCTATTTCCTATTCCATGTTAATTTTCGCACAGTTCTTGCTTTTTATCACAGTGACTGCTCTGAAAAACCAGATTTGCAAAGATGCATATCCTCATAAGAGATGTAATGTGCTCTAATGTTGAAACTGAACCATCTTAAGCTAGTAGTTAGTGCAGCATCTGGCATGTGTCAACTATCACTGTTTCCCTAAAAAAATTTGGACTATCCTGTGGTAACTCTGTGAGTTCCCCACAGTGCCCAGGGTGCTCTGATCCACTCTGGGAACCACAGCATTAGACTATAAACAAAGGTTCTTTTTGGAAGGTGAAATCAGGTTGAAGGAAGAGAGTATTTTCTTCTTTATGCACATCTGGATAATTGGAACGTTTTAGAATGAGCATCTGTGACTTATATTACTTTTCATAAGATTTTTTCCATTGCAAGAAAAGAAGCCAGAAAAGGAGCAAAAGTGAAAGACAATAGAGAGTGATACAGACGTGAAAACGGAAATAAAAATTCATCCAGCCGTGGTACGGGGGTGCGAAAGCACACCAAACTGGCTTTGTCTGTGTGTTTCCTTCTGTAATTCTGAAAGTGGTCCAAGTCCCTCTGGGCTTTGGTTCCTCCCCTCGTAAGCAAACACACTGGCTTCCCTCACAGGGAAGGAGAAACTGGCTGGAATCGCTGCTGGCAGTTACTCCAGAAGAAAAGAGAGATGAAATCATGGTTCTGGAGCCCTCTGCCTGAGTTCTAGTTCTAACCCTGCCCTACTAGCACTATGACCTTGGGCAAGTTCATTAACTCCTCTGTGCCTCAGTTTCCATACCTGCTCAATGGTGAGAACAGTAATGTGTACCCGTTGAGGGGATTCAGTGAGAGACACTTACTGCAGGATGTGGCCAGTGCAGAATACATGCCAGCTATTATCATTGTGGTCGCTATCTAACAGGAAAAAACTTTGGAGCAACAGATTCTTTTCTTCCAGCTATCAGAATTAGGGAATGGTGGGGGACTGTCCCAGTTATCATGATATCCAAAGAGTCAGAGGGAAGCCACAAGGGATCCATGCACAAATCAAAGTTGTAGGGAGGTAGAAACTGTAAGTAGAACTCAGCTGGGAGGCTAATTGAGGGGTTTCTGTTCTAGCGAAAAAAAAAACTGTCAAATTAAGGTAGAATATAAGGTAATCTCATGATCTCATGGATTTTTGTCTACATTCATCCCACTCCCAAACCTTAAAACATTTTTTACCTCATCTCTATGTCCCACAAAGCGACGTCATCGCTGATCCAAGGGTTGGATGGCTCAGCTGGTGTTATCAAAGGGTCATATTCCATATATTGTTCCGTGTAGGCAATTAAGCTGCAGGAGGGAGGCAAAGAATGTCACTGATTTCCTCAAAAAAAAAAAACAAACCTTTATTCTATTTTATGCAAACATTATAGCAGTCTACACATAATTCTAAATTAAAGGAAAAAATGTATTTCCGCTCCCACTTCTGACACATCAAACTGTTTCCATTTGTCCTTATTTCCTTCTCATTATGAACACACCATTTTTGTGTTGTTGCAGTCATGATATACACATGCATTTTATATATCTTTTCCCCACTTGACTCTTTACCTGAACCTTGGTGCATCTCTCCCTGGTTATGCTAGCCTTACTGATATTAATACACTGGTCAAACCTGCTTGTGTTCCACTCTCCCACAAAGACTGATTCTCAAGGCATCTGGAACACACAAAAGACACTACAGCTCCCCCAGACTGCCAGCTCAGCATTCCCAGTGGAAGGACTTTCTGATGGTAAAGACTTTTAAATACCAGCAGACCACAAGGAGTTAACATAAGCATTTTTTCCAAAAAAAGCAACTTAGTTTTTCTAGTTATAATTACGACCTAATAGATATGTTGATCTTATAGATTGACATATTTTAGACTTTTATTTTTATCAAAATGTATGTGAACAGTTAGAATAATAAAATAGTACCAAATTATTATATATATAAAAAAGCAAAAGCAATTATTTTTTCCTCCCATCCCTTCTCAGAGAGGCATCTACTTTCCACCTTCTGTTTTTTCTAAAAGTTACCTATATATTTCTAAATTATATGCTTTTATATCTATTCCTGTTTTTATTTTAGACAAGAATTTATCTTTCTATTCACCAGTCCTTAACTCCCACTCCCATCTTTTCTTACATGATCCTCCAAATAGACTTGTATAACAATTTTTGTTAAATCAATGGTCAGTGTAACATTATTAAACTAGATAAAAATTGTTTGCTATTCAGCTAAATATCATACTACTTTTTCCAAGCAAGTGTTTTTACAAACCTATAAAATATCTAGCAATCCTTTTTTTACATCTTAAACACATCAAATAATTGAGCAGTTCTGTCCTCTTGTTTCCCAGAGATCCTCTCTCCTGAAGTCTTTAGTCTTCTTGCTCGAAACTGGATCATTTGCTCTATAGACTTGATGGAAAATGATCATTTTAGGACTTCCTTTGCTTCTGTGTTGAAAATCCCATGTTTCCTGGATTCCATATCTATCTCTTGTTTTTACTCCCTGATTGTGTTGAAGCATATCCTTTAGTAGTTTCCTAATAAAGGATGCATGAAAATCCTTGCAAGTATAAAAATGCTCTTATCTCCAACTGATAGTGCTAGACATAGAACACTAGGTGAAAAATCTCTTTCCTTTAGAATTTTGAAGGCATCACTCCATGTTTTTTTTTCTTTTTTTTTTCTGGCATGCAGTGCTACTATTGAGAAGCCTGGATCCATTTTGATTCTCATTATTTGGTTCAGTTTCTTTTCTCTCTGTCAACTTAGAATCATCTTTTTATTGTTAGAGTGTTCTGAAATTTCATGACGGCCCTTGCTGGTTGTTGTTATTTACTATGCTGGGCACAGTGTGCAATAGATAAGAAAATATTTATCAGGAAATTTATAGTATTCATCACTAATTTTATACCCTTTGTTTCCTTTGTTTGCTTGTCCTATATGTTTTTCCAGTTCAATATTGGACATCCTGATTTGTTAATCTATCTTCCCTCCCATTTTTCATTTCCTTGTCTTTTTGTTAACTCTCTTTCAACTTCCTATTGATTTTAAAAAAAATTTTGAACCATTACTTTCTTAAATTTCCAGAGTTCACTTTTGGTTATCACAGTGTCTAGTTCTTGTTTTATGGACGAAATATCTTCTCATTTCTCAGATAATATGAACTCCATACTTTCATTGTAAGTTTCTTTTACTTGTTGAATTATTTTGGTTCCTCCAAGTTCCTTTTTTCTGTTTATTTTGATTATACTCTTTCACGTTGAGGCTTGAGTGTCTGGAAAATCTTTGCACATCCATTTGTGCTTAAGAGTGAGGTACTGAAACCTGCTTGGCAGCTCGGTGGGCGTGTGGATGGGGCTTGTCACTGATGGGCTTTATTGTCATAGGGAAGTTTACCAGTATTTTCATGGGAGCTCCAAATGAGGGATCTGGAGTCTTTCCTCTGGGGCATCTATTTTTCTCTAGAGTGGGCATCGGCAAGTTTCTTCTGTATGGCCTAGATAGTAAATATTTTAGGCTTTGTGGGCCAGATGGTGTCTGTTGCCACTACTCAGCTCTACTGCTGTGGCATAAAAGCAGCCATAGGCAACTTGCAAATGAATGCGTGTGATTGTGTTCTAATAAAACTTTATTTGCAAAAACAGAATGGAGTATGGTTTGGCCCATGGGTTGTAGTTTGTCAGTCTCTTGCCTATGGGTATATATGTCTGGCTCCTGGAGGCCTGAGAGCAGGGTCGGGGTGGGGCTAAGTGTCTGTTGGGGCTCAGAACACGATACTCCAAAGTATAGCATGTTGGCATGCTGAGTACTTTGAACTAAAGGAGATTGGAAGGGCCTCAGAAGCCAAGGCTTTCACCTTCTCTCCTGCCCCTGCCTTCCATCCCTTTTTCTCTCCTGACGTAAGTCACAGAAACAAGAATTCTTTTTCCCCAGAGTGGGTCATAGAAACTAGAATGTCTCTCCCTTAAAGCAAGCCACAAAACCTAGAAAGGTCACTCCCTTCTCCCTTGAAAACCCTCATTCCAGAGAGGTCCTACCCGGGAGGTAGGAATGCTACTCAGAGAGACTAAAAAGAATCTAAACAGACAGGCCTTGCTGGGTTTCCTCCCCTCAGTCTGTTACCAGTAGATCACACCCTTTTGTACAATCACATTTCTATAAGGCTGCCCATTCTTCATGGAACCTAAGTACAAATACAGACAGTTTTCCCTGTGTCTTTGAGTCTTCATTTCTGAAGGCTTCGGTGTCACATAAAACTGATGAAATAAATGCATTTATGCTTTTCTCTTGTTAACCTCTTCTGTTACAGCAGTGTTGGCCATAATCTTTATTATAGATGAGGAAAGGTATCACAATTTCTATCCCTACAGGCCCCACAGTTCAGTGTGTAGAGCTTCCATTAATTCTCTTGTTTTCAGTTGGCCTCTTCTGATATCTGATGTGTCTGAGTTCTGAGTGTATGTGGCTCAATTTCTCTCAAGAAAAAACTGCCCATATCCTTCAGTCATGGTAGTTGGGAAGGATTATTTCCTAGTGGGGCAGGAGATCTAGGGGTACAAGGTCTCCTGGGACAGACTTGACCATTCCGCTGCTGTTAGCCCCATGCCTCATTCCTGCCTTCCGTGGTCCCTGGTGCCTTCAAGAGCCAAGGCCAGGCTTTGTTGCAAAAACTGGCTTACTTTGTCACATTACTTCTGCCCCCAACATGTAATTTAGAATGTTCTTCACTCTGTCCCTGTGCACTTTATTTTTTATTAAATTTTGAAACATTTCAGGCATGCAGAAAGGTATAAAAATTGTAAGAAATCACCCTTGTACTCACTGACCAATTAAAAAAATAAAACATTACAAATAGAGACATGGGGGCCTGTGGTTATGTTCCCCAATTACAAAGACTTTGTATCTTGGACAAATGTGTTGAAATTATTAATAGTTTGTTAATCTTGTGAGTTCATGCCATTTTTGTTCCTTTAGTGACATGTTGTATTTGAGGAAAGGGAGAAGATGAACATATGTCTACAATATTGTCTTGGTTGCATTGAGTTACTTTATTACAATTTACTTAATCATTTCCTTTATATTAGACACAGACTTTAAATATTTCTTTTTAAATATATGTAGTGCTGTGGTAGAACACCATTGTTCACACAGATTTTTTTTTTTCATCTTCTCAGTTATTTCTTTAGAATTCACATCCATAAGCAGAATTATTTAACCAAAAGGTTTGAATATTTTTGTGGTTATTGATCCACAATAAAACGTTTCCTTAAGCATTGCCAGCTTGTGTGTCAGCAACTTCTCCCACAACAGCAAAGTCAGAGCCACAATTCCTACTACTGAATTGCAAAGGGCAATAATGGCCAATTAGCTTAATGCTGACCACGCAGAGAAATTAGTCAGAGGCTCCATCTCGTGCTACTGGAAGTGTGATCCATGAACCAGCAGCAGCACTGGCATCACCTGGGAGCCTGTTAGCAATGCAGGATCTCATATCCCAGCCCAGGCCTCCTGATTCAGCATCTGCATTTTAATAGGCTCCCCCAGGTGATTCATATGCACATTCAAGTTTGAGAAGAACCACATCTCATTCCTCAATTTTCCAAAGGGTTCAGGACACAAGATGTTTTATTCATCAAATCAAAATGAAGGAGTCCCTGGTAATTTTGGTTTTGAAGACGGATGTAAATTTTCTGAAACCTCAGAGCCTCCTCGCTGTCCCAGGTGTTTACCATGACCCAGTGGGGTAGAAGAAGCAGTGGTCCCAGTTGAAAAGCCTTGGTTTGAGTTCTTGGTTGAGTCATTTAACTGATCTTGTCAAGTTCATCATGTTATGTAACAGCCTTGTTGAGCACTCAGGACCATTGTGATAGAAAATGGGAAAGCATCTTTAAAGAATCTTGACAGTCCTCCACAAATATAAAATAGACAAGCAAAACCATGTGGCAGACTAGAGGCACATCCTCTGTCCTATAAATCTCCTGCAAGGTATGCATCTTCCCCAGGGCCAGCCTTCACCAATAAGAGCTGTATTAGTTTGTTTTCATGCTAGTGATAAAGACATACCTGAGACTGGGCAATTTACAAGAGAAAGATGTTTAATGGACATACAGTTCCATGTGGCTGGGGAGGCCTCACAATCATGCTGGGAGGCAAGGAGGAGCAAGTCATGTCTTACATGGATGGCGGCAGGCAAAGGAAAAGAGCTTGTGCAGGGAAACTCCCATTTTTAAAGTCATCAGATCTCATGAGACTTATTCACTATCATAGGAACAGCACAGGAAATCCCACCCCCATGA